TCCGATCTCCCCAAAACCCCAAAACCCCGCAAGCAAATGATTGATAGAATCGATCGAGTGATATAAAATTGAAATTAATGTCAATATTGAAATTTATAAAAGATAAACTAAACAACACTTGATCAAAATGTTTAAATCATCAGCTTCTCTAACAAATAAAGTCAGATTTCCATCTGTTTTCACAAATATTGTGATTAATTCAAAGCCTAAGCAAGAAAAAATGAGTGAATAGGAAATATAGAGACATGGCGGGATTCAAATACACGGAGAAGTCATAATAAATAAAGATTCCAATATTTTGCTGCCATAATAAAATGATTATGAAAATCCACGAGTTACACTTGGTGTAATTGGATCCAGAATTGTCAGATTTTGTGAAGAACAAATAAATATTGTCGAGTACATTGATGCAGAATTCTGGATTTATGAGGAATCTCAATCAGAAAAAGGTTATCAAATTTCTCTCAATAATTCAATCTGTCTCTTGATAATAATGTTTCCAACTTACAGAGAACAGCAATAGTGGTCTGAGATTATAATGAAATTTACTGTTAAACTTGGATTAAAAGATGACTTCTCCTTTCAAAGATGTCTTGGCTCTGGTGTGTCTTCTAAAGTAAATTTGGCAACAGAAAAAGGAAAGTTACTGGGAAAGCAGTTTGCTGTCAAAACTATTAAGAAGACATATTTTAAGGAATCATCAGTCAACTTTGAAAGTGTAATAAGGGAAACTAGAATTCAAAGGCATCTTACAGGATGTGATAAGGTTATGTAAATGTTTGCAATATATGAGGATTTGCAGCATGTTCACTTAGTCTTAGAATATTTGCGTGGAGGTACATTGAGGTCTTATTTTTCCAAATTTCCTCAACTTAATGAATAATTGCTTAAAAAGGTTATGTCTTAACTCATCACCAGTCTTTAACAAATTCATGAAAGAGGTGTTGTGCATAGAGACATTAAACTAGACAATATATTAGTTGGGAATTTTGATGAAGAAAATATAGAAGTTAAGATAGCTGATTTTGGATTATCTGATTAAATTATATATCCAATGACAATGCTTCATTAAAGGTGTGGAAGTCCTGGATATATTGCACCAGAAATACTCAGGTCTGAAGGATATAATTTCAAGGCTGATATATTCAGTATGGGTTCAGTCTTTTACAATATTTTGGCCAAGAAGGGACTCTTTGAGGGAATGTTCAAAGGTGGATTGAAAGAGTTTCTTATTGCTAACAGAGACTGTAACTTGGCTCATGTTCCTGCTAGACTCAAGGAATCTGTTCCAGGAGCAAAGGAAATTACTATAAAAATGTTAGCAATAAAACCTGTTGATAGACCTACAGCGGAATAATTGCTAAGTATGCCATGGATAGCTTAATATGATTATTCAATAATGAGTGTTGATGAACACATTGAGAACTTATTAGTCTAAGTACCATGTCTAGTTCAAGTATGGGCTGAGGACAACATGCAATCAATTCTCATCGGTAACTTTAATTTTCATGATCCCAAGTCAATTCAATCGGGTGGAGCAAGTTTTATCCAGAGTTGTCATAATGGTAGTCCTTCTATTAAATAGCCAGAAGGTCCAAATAAGAAGTGTAAGAATTTTAAGATAAATTAAATTTATAATATAGTTGCACCTATGTCACCGCATGATTAAATGAGATTAAAGCCTCACCATTTTGGATAATTTGGAAAAAAGAATACAAATGAAAATATGGGCAGCAGACTGAATCTTTCAAATTAAAAACTTCTTTAAAGACCAATTAGTATATAAAGAAATGCTTCTGACTTAAATGCCGCAGTCGACTTTCATATTATAAGCTAGCATGCGTTAGGCCAGGACAAAGATCCTTAAAGACCAATTTCAATGATTTATAATCAAGGGTTTAATTCAAATATGCAAAATTTCTACTCAAATCAGAATTAAAGACCTCCAAATAATGAAATGCCTAATGAAAAAGATGAGTGTAGTATGCAGGCTGAAATGCCAGATTTTACTGAGAGGAAAAATTAAGTGCAAACTGTTTATTGTAGTATTAAAGTTGGTAAATATAAAAAGGAAAGCTATCAAATGAAGGAAGTTATAGCGAACCCTTAGATTAAGCAGAAGAGATTCTTCGTTGATTTAGATGACTAGGACTATGGTAAGAAAGTTCTTCATACCTATTAGTACTGATCACTTATATTAGTTACTATTAAAATTAATTTCATCAATAATTCCAGCAATGTCTATTTGTGAATGTTGGGGTTTTGGGGTTTTGGGGTTTTGGGG